GTCCCTAGTGCCTCTAAATAAATAAATAAATAAATAAATAGCTTTACTCTCAACAAATATTTAGTGATCACTGACTATGTTTGAGATACTGTTCTAGACACTGGGGATGCAGTGGTGAATAAACTAAACAAAAATCTCTGCCTTCATAGAGCTTGCATTTTAATTTATAATATTAAGTATTGTTACTTACATTGATTTCTCAGCCTGTGGTAAAATTTTATTTTCTTTTTTTTTCTTTTTGTAGTAATGGGGGTTGAACCCAGGGGTGCTCTACTACTGAGCTAGATTCCCTTTATTTTTTTATTCTTATGTGGTGCTGAGGATTAAATCCAGTRCCTCACATGCTAGGCAAGTGCTGTACCACTGAGCTACAACCCAAGCCCTCTCTAGCCATTTTTATTTTAAGAAGGGTCTCACTAAATTGTCCAGATGGGCCTTGAACTTGTGATATCCTACCTGTTTCCTGAGTAGCTGGGATTACAGGCAGGTGCCACCACACCCAGCTCTTTTCTGTCTTAAAAAGTATAAACTGTGGCTCTTAGAAAGGTGGATGGATGGCCAACAGTCTTGTCCTGCAAGGGTAAGAATTTCTAAGGATGACCCAGCACTTTGATACCAGTGCCTCCTAGATAGCAGCCTCAAGGTGAAATACAAAACCTCCTCCTTGGATTGGGGGTGTAGCTCAGTAATAGAGCATTGCCTAGCGTGTGCACGGCTATGGATTTGATCCCCAGTACTGCAAAACAAAACAAAAAACTACTTTCCAGCATCTACCTACAATAATTACATGACTTATGATTATATGAGTTACTAATGAATTAGGTTTGAAGAATACTGCTTCCTAGTAATCATCACCAGAATATATTTGTTTACCAACTATGGATTCTTTGTTTTAGAAAGTATCCCTAATCCAGATAGTCAGGCCACATAATGGTGAAGGAAGTTTCTGTCTTTTTGAGTTTTGATCAAGCTGAGCACCCATATTGGTAGTGAACATGTTTTGTAAAATAAATTTCAGAAGAACTTTATTTTTAGGACCACACACACCAAACAAAACAGCTCCTCAGGAAAAACCCTCAGAGCCCAAATGCCACCACCGGCTTCCCACAAGCCTCTCCCACTCCCACAATCCTCCTGCTCTTGAGGCCGAYTGGCTGGGTCGCATGGGCGGAGCCAAAGAAGTCCCCCAATGAGCAGCTCCGTGGTCTGAAAGGGCAGGGAAATAGCCCAATGAGCATCACTGCAGAGGAGCCAAAAATGTTAATCAAACCTTCTCTGATAAGTGGATGCTAATTCATAATAGTGGGGYATGTGATGAGTGGAGGAATTTTGAATGGGGCAAAGGGGAGGCAAGGAGGGGTCATGGAGATAGTAGGAAAGATTGTGGAATGAGASGGACATCATTACCCTAGGTACATGTATGATTGCACGAATGGTATGATCCTACTTTGGGTACAACCAGAGAAGTAAAAAAATTTTGCTCCATTTGTATATAATGAATTGAAGAGTGTTCTGCTGTTGTATATAACTGATTAGAACAAAGAAATAAATTTTATAAAAAAATCAAGTCATCTGTGAATAAACGGATTTAATTTTTTTCTTCAAAAAATATCAAACCTAGTATTTAACAAGTATTGATATTCTATTCTATAAACTTATGGAGTCCTTTGGGAAAACTGCATCTATAAGATAGGTAAACTGTTAACTATCCTTACAGGAATGTTGAATTAACCAAATGTTTTATAACCTTTTGTTTCTTGATAGAAAGATGTTACATGTGTCATTATAAAAAATTGTTATAGTAACTGAAGAAGTACCAATAGTAGCACTTAAAATAGTAGGCCCTCAGATTTTTAAAAATTGAAGTGGATTTTCATATGATGAATATCCCAGGCATGAAATACTCTCACTCTAGTTTATATCCATAAGTACACATTCATTTGGGTTTCGAGAAGACTCCTTTTTTTCACCAAGTACTAATATGTTCTACAATTCTCATTAATTACAGAAAAAAGAAGAATTCGTAAAAACTTTACTAAAGAAGAAGTAAATTACCTTTTCTGTGGAGTTAAGAAAATGGGAAATCATTGGAATTCAATTTTGTGGTCTTTCCCCTTTCAGCAAGGACGGACAGCTGTAGACCTTGCTCAAAAATACCACAACCTGATCAAACGCCCCATGTGTACAACTCCTTGATTGGAAGAGACTTTGTCAATTTTTAGTTTAGACTATAGGTATTGTGCCTTGAAARATAAAATGTTAAATATTATTCTAAATCCCCATGAGGCAGGGAATGTAGAAACAAGTATAAGTTTAATTAAACAGTTTTTGTGATGCTGGAACTCTTCAAATTATTACAATAATTTTTAAAGCAAATACATTTTCACTGTGCATAGTCATATAAAATTCTTCCATAAGGTCAAACATATGTTTAGGAATATGACTTAATTCTTAAGCTCAGAGAACGTGGCTCAGAGGAAAGAAGTTATTGGCTTTTAAACATTATTTCACATTATACTGCAATGAACATTATGTGGATTTTAGTATTTTTGCTCAGTGCCAAAGTGTCCCTCCCTAGAACTCAGAATGTTTTCTCAAGCTGTTCAACTGAGGTTCCCACCCACTAAATCAATGTTTTACATTTGTTAATTTAAAAAATTGGGAGGGGGGACACTAGGGATTGAACCCAGGGGTTTCTATCACTGAACCATATCCCTAGCCCTTTTTATTTTTTTGAGACAGGGCTTTGTTAAGTTGCTGAAGCAGGCCTTGAACTTTCAATCCTCCTGCCTCAGGAGGGGATTATAGGCATGCAAGTAGCCAAAATGTTTCTTCTAAAAACTAATCATATATTGCTTTGAGTAGTTGGATTTACTTTTGGTGTATGTATTTTTGCTTTAGCTTTTTAAAAATATCTATTACTTTCCCCTTCTGACCCTATACATCTTTTAGGCTTTGTGCTAATGGGATAACATGCTGCATCATAACAGTGCTWTGTACCTTAGTTACTGACCACAGGCCATCTGTTTGTAAAATGTGTCCAAAGAGAAGTATAAACCTTAAGAAATGTGGCTTGACTATGACCCTGTGAGGTTTATGAACTGGACACTTCTTGGCGTTCTACATGATCAACTCTCAGATTATAGTTAATGCAGTTTCAAATCTTTTTTTTTTTTTTTTTAAAGAGTGAGAAGGAGAGAGAGAGAATTTTTAATATTTTATTTTTTAGTTCTCGGCTGACACAACATCTTTGTATGTGGTGCTGAGGATCAAACCCGGGCCGCACGCATGCCAGGCGAGCGCACTACTGCTTGAGCCACATCCCCAGCCCCATCAATTCTTAATATTATAATTTTATTTTCAAATAATGATTATCTTTATTTGCTAAGGCATAAGCTTATAGTGATGATAGCACCATGAATTGGCTGGGGCAGGCATCATCATCAGTCCTTTCTGGCCTGTTCTTTGACAGTCCTTAATGATATCATCTACTTTGTTTTTGTTGAGAATGGTCAAATGCTCCTTTGAAATCTGCATTTGTTATGTTTGCAGAATCCTCCTACCTGGTGGTATTCCTCCAAGAAAAGAAAAGATATTGTGTAAATTTAATGCTGTTTTCCAACTACTCATATTAGAGTATCACCTAGTGCTATTTAAGCTCAACTGGCTTAACAGTTTTCAACTCCCATCCTCTGCCTGTGAAAATATAGACACTGCTTACCCTTCTATAATTTCTAACACTTTGCTTGATCTTCCCAGGCTTCCAGAGATGTAATATATTTAATGTTTTTTTATTCCTGATCTTTTGCTTAAAATATATTCAGGTTTGCAGATGATATGCTCATTTGTTGGGTGCTATAATTTACTATGCCCAGTTTTTTGGCAGAGCCAGGATCACTATCATGTGAAACCCACTTAAATGGTTGCTCTTCTGTCATCCCATTTACTTGTGATATTTAGCAGTGCCTTGTAAAGGGTAGTCTGCTTCCATCAAAACATTGAGAACACTCAGGCCACACCTAACTTTACCCTTGTGCAGTTTTCTTTCCTCCTCTTCCTTCTTCCTGCACCTTCCTCTTTCACATCCCCTACCCCTTTTCTTATGCGCCCCCCCCCCAAAGGAAATGAAAGTTTAATTTTGGTGTCAAAAGCTGGATGCCTGAAAAAAAATTTTTTCCTCTCAGGTGCTGATGACTGAACCCAGGAGGACCTTGGACATGTTAGCCAAGTACCAAGCGCTCTAATACTGAGCCCATGTCCAGTCCGCTGAAAATATTTTTTTTTAACTCTTAGTAAAGCAAACCCAAACATATGGTTCACTGGGGTGAACAGTCTTAATAAGATTTACAAAGGTGGAGATGAAAAGCAGGATATTTATGAGGATTTGAGGATCTTGATTAAGGCCGATCTTTCACTGCAGGGATTGATGAAGATTAGGTTAAATTCACGATATAGTAGTTTCAGATTAGTGAGTACAATAAGTACCAAGACGCCACCTTCTAGCATCCAAATTCTGAACTTCAGGTTCCTCATCGGTCAAGGGTTAGGTAAGTTTTTGTTTTGGGCGGGGGGGGGGGGGTTGCGCGGGTAGTACTGAGGACTGAATCCAGAGAGTGCTTTGCTGCTGAGCAAAATCCCCAGCCCCTTTTATTTTTTGAGACAGGTTCTCGCTGTCTTTGGGGCCTGAAATTTGCAATCCTGCCTCAGACCCCMGAGTCCCGAGGACTACAGGGGTGGGCCGCCGTGCCTGTAGTAAGATTGGGATAGTGTGTGGCCCTGGCACACTGTGAGSGCTAGCTACGTGGTGCGGTCGAGCATCAGTCTTACTCCAAAGAGTGGGTTGCTGCGTCAGTCCCCGGGGCTCCCTAGCACTAGATAGACCCAGGTACCTGGAGCCGGGCTGGGTCCTGGGGCGGGCGCTGCGTCGCGCCCCTCAGCCAGCAGAGGCCGCCACCGCGTTCTGAGTCCGGGCGGCGCCCGCCTCCCTCCTACCTCCTCCTGCAAGGCTGCCCTAGCAATTGCCTGACTACCGCTACCGCAGCGGCCGCGCGACCCGTAGGAGCCCGCAGACATCGCCTGTCCGGCGGGGCGCGTTGAGCTGAACGGCCCCGGTGGTGGGCGGGCGGCGCGAGGACGACGGGCGGCCCAGCCAGGGTCCTCACGGGTCCTTGCGGGTCCTCGGCGGGCCCGGGGGAGGGCCCTCTTTGTGGCTGCAGTTGGCAAGATGGCGCCGGTGGGGGTGGAGAAAAAGCTGCTGCTGGGCCCCAACGGGCCCGCTGTGGCTGCTGCCGGCGACCTCACCAGTGAGGAGGAGGAGGGCCAGAGCCTGTGGTGAGGCAGCAGGCTGGGTCGGGGAGGGCGCGGCAGGATGGAGAGGTGCCGGCCGGACCCTGGGCAGACACAGACGGCCGTCACGGCCGGTCTTGGGCGGCCCCGGAGCTGACCGCTCTTCCCCTTGTCGCTGCAGGTCTTCGATCCTGAGTGAAGTGTCCACCCGCGCCAGGTCCAAGCTACCGTCGGGCAAGAACATCCTGGTTTTCGGTGAGCGGCGGGGCGCTGTCCGCGGCCGCCCGGGTGGGCAAGGCGGCGCCTCTCCCACAGGTCCCAGCGTTCCCCTCCTTCCCTGCTGCCAGTCTGCCGTCCGGGAGGGCTCTCTCGGCGCTGGCATGGCAGCTGGAGAATCGCCAAGCCCACCACGCCTGACGGTGGGATGCTGGCCCTTTGGGAGTCCAGAGGGGCTGTGTGGGGTGGTCCGCACATTTCCTTTAGTCACTTGGCCGCTAAGTCAGCTTGACTTCCTGCGCCCCTATCTTCTCTGTTCAAGTTGAGGGTGGAGAGAAGGGAGAGAGTAGTTGAGAAGACTAGATGGAGTAGGCGGGAGAACAAGATGACCTGGGCTCCGAGCTGCCGCAGGAGCCTTCCTCGGTTATTATGAGCAGTGCACAGTCGGATGATTTAGAGAGTCTGCAAGGACAGCAGGCTTTGCAGTCAGTACCCTGGACTTTCCTGCCATTAGTCCTGCCCTCAATGCTGGGTTACTTGAGTTAGGCCCCTTAACTTATGTGAACTCAGTTTCCGCATACAAGTAAAGGTGGTTGTCCTTCGCACAACACACACATTTGTGTAGTGGGACCTGCGGGCTGGGACAGCACAGACAGCTCTGATGCTCCACACAAGAACCTCAGTCTAGCAAAAACAGATATGTTGGTGATTGCACTACACCATGCCTGTCATGGGCAGATTCTTGTGGGAGCATCAGGCTGCTTGTTCTGTTGAGAGAAATTTGGGCCTGTTCTGAAGGATAAGTGTCAGGATGCAGGATGCAAAAATGACAGAAGGATTTGGGGTTTGGAAACTGTTTAAAATTTCTTGTGGTAAATGCCACTTCAGGAAGTTGGGGGCAGATTGTGAAAAGCTGGAAGAGTTAATGCTTCTTGAAGGCTTCTGATTTTTATAACTCTTTTTATCTTACCTCCATCTATACTTTTGGGCATCGTTGTCTTCATGGTTTCCCCATAGTTTCTTAGGGGACTAAATGGGTTTCAGATGATGTTCATTGTGGTAGGTTAGCAGACTCTTAGAGATCTTCAAAAACCAAGGGTTAAGAGCACTAGATCTGTGTTTTAGAAAGAGAACTTTGGCTGTAGAGTGGAAAGTAACTAAGGATGAGTGGGTACTGAAGTTAGGCTAACTTTTACAATGGTCCAGCTGGGATGTAGAGGACAAAAAGGTAATAATAGCATTGTGGATGGACAGGGAGTCTCATCTGTGGAATGCCTTTCGCTCCCTCTATAATTCTATATTATTAAGTCCCAGGAATGCCTAGTGATGATTATTGCTAGTGGTTCTACCTGCTGTTTAGAGAGGTGGTTGGTTTTTTGTTTTGTTTTATTTTGTTTTTTCTTTTTCTTTTTGGTGTGGGGAGGAGATATCAGATTGTTGGAGATGAAAAAATGTTAATTACTCAGACTGTACCCATTGCTTAGGTCTGTAATTATTTTCTTTAGTTTCTCAGCCTTCAGAATGCTTTTGAAGGATATGTACTAAAAGCAAGTGAGAAAAATAACATCCATTCTTCATGATGGTGAGGCAGGATCAGACTAAAAAAAAAAAAAAAACATTCAGAGTTCCTAGACTTTGAGGTTAGTTGTGTTTTGAAGATTTCTTGCATTCTTGTGGTAGAAATTTATTTTGTGAGAAACTAGTCCCACCTTTTCCTTTAATTTCTCCAAATGCATGTCTTAGAAAATCTAGCTAAGGCTGATGGACTTGCCTTATGCCTTCCCTTGTGGAGTAAGGAAAACTGCAATAGAATGTCAATGTGATCTTGGAATTTTCTGCTTTTACCTGCCCCCACCACCAGTCATTCTTAGAGCAAAATCTCCTTTGTTTATGAAAGCAAATGAGACCTCAGCAGTGGTCGGTGCCATTCTTAGTTGTTCCCTGTTGTGTGAATGTCATGACTTTGATATAACATGCCATCCTTGTCCAAAATAAACAGTACATTTTTGTCTTTCTTGCAAACATCATTTGTAGGTGAAGATGGTTCTGGTAAAACAACTCTTATGACTAAACTACAAGGAGCAGAGCATGGCAAAAAAGGAAGAGGCCTAGAGTATCTCTACCTCAGTGTTCATGATGAGGACCGAGATGGTGAGTGAAGCGTTGATCCATGGTAAGGGATACATGCAGGACTCTGACTCCTATGACATGTCAGGGGTTATCAACTTTTCTTTTTGGTTCTTAAGAGAATTAATAATAAGGGAATAAATGAAATATGTGTCATTCACAGGATTTTGTATAGAGCATGTTAGCAAAATGAAGAATGGGGCCATTCATTGCTCTTCTATTTAGCCTCTATTTAACAGGAGATACTGAAGATAAAGTTTCACATGCATATAAAAGTAGTAAGAAAGATTTTTTTAAAGCTTTGGAGTATGCTTGGCATACTAATCTGGCAGTATTGTTTCTCTGCCTGGTTCTAACAGAGAGTCTGTAATTGGTGTTGTTCAGAGTGTRTAATTTAATGTATATTCACTCAGGAGGATTTCCTGAATCTCTATGTGACTATTAAGAAATGCTAATTTGTATTTCTTTGGTGGGAGGGAATAAAGGCGCAGGGGTGATAATGTTCTTTAATTCACAATCTCTAAAATGCAGAGCATAATGGTTTTTACCTACACAGGGTATTTAAAAGCATGTGGTAAACACTCTTACAAGGATTAGATATCATTTTAAAATTCTTTTAATTGTGAGATGGGTAGACTAATGATTTTGGTTACAACTAGTTAGTAATGCTTCCTTTATAATCATTTAGATTTTATTTTAGGGTTTTGGGGGGTGGGAATTGTTCCAGGGATTAAACCCAGAGATGCTTTATCACTGAGCTATATCCCCAGCCCTTTTTATTTTTTATTTTAAGACAGTGTCTCACTAAATTGTTGATACTGGCCTCAAACTTTTGATCCACCTGCCTCAGCCTCCTGAGCTGCTGAGATAACTGGTGTGCTGCACCATTGTACTTGGCAGTGTTAGTTTTTTTTTTTTTTTTTTTTTTTTAATAACCATAAAATAAGTAATATGGATCCCTGGGTCTTTTTTTGTGTATGTTGGAAAATTACCTTTGTAGCCTAAAGATGATACATTCTTTCCTAGGTTCTATGGCACTCATCTGTAATCCCATATATTCAGGAGTCTGAGGGAGGAAGATTGAAAGTTTGAGGCCAGTATTGGCCACTTAGTGAGATCTTGTCTCAATAAAATGAAGGCTGGGAAAATAGCTAGTGGTAGAGTGCCCTTAGGTTCAGTCCCCAGTACCAAATAAGTTCTTTATAGACTTTACCATTTAAGCAGGAAGGATCATGATGTAAAGGTGATTAATTTTATAAGGGAGAACTAATCCTACCACCTCTGGTCCCCCACTTCCTTATTGCTAAATTGAAGTCTGAACCAAGGTTCTTGCCTGCACTATAATTCTGCCATCTCAACTTCGAAATTGTGTTAGTCAGCTTTCTGTTACTGTGACAAAATACATAAGAAAATCAGCATAAAGGAAGAAAGATTTATTTGGGCTCATAGTGTCTAGAGTTTTCAGTCCATGGTCGCTTGACGCAATTGCTTTTAGGTTGCTCCTGAAGCCTGTGGTGAGACAGCACGTCATGGCAGGGAGTGTGTGGCAGAGCCAAGCTGTCCGGCTCAAGGAGGCTAGGAAGCACACAGAATAAGCAGTGGTGGGTGACAAAATATACCTTTCAAGGACATTCCCTCAGTGACCTACTTCCTTGAACTAAAGCCCCACCTCTTAAAGGTTACACCAACTACTAATAGTGCCACAAGCTGGCAACCAAGCCTTTAGTATCTGGCCTTTTGGGGGGCATTTCAGATCCAAACGGTAACAAAACCTTACGTTGTATAAACTAATTTTAGAACCCCAGGGATTTTTATTCCTGCCCCCGTTTCCTGACTTCCTTTCTCTTGCTGAATATTCCCTCAACGTCTTGAAAGCAGGCGATTGATCTGGTGCCAAGGTCTTTGTTGTCAGATGAACAGGCATCAGGTATCCATCTAGGCCCAGTGGAGTTGGTAGCTGTAGTGCTGGGACTTTGGGGCCTACTGAGCCAGGCTTAGAGGACTTCTCATGTCTGTGTTACCTGTTTTGCTTCCTGTTTTTGTAGGTCACCATGGTTATTGTAGAGAGATCTTGTGTTTTGGAGTTTGAACTGGTTCCTAAGGCTTCTCCTATAACCAGCAGTAGAGTAACCTTGGGCAACTGACTTAACCACACTACATTTCAATTTCCTCATGTATAGAATAGGGTTATAGTGCCTATTTTACAGGTTGACAGAATGAAAGGACAAAATATGGTGTAGATATTCTGTGCATCTTCATAGCCTCTTTTTCAAGATGGCACAAGCACATTTCAGGTCAAAGCATCACATAACCATATTTACTTGACTTTAAGTACATGGTAACTTCTGTTTCAGATCCCTTTTACTCATTTTGTCCCATTATCCCAGATAAAGAACACTTATTAAAATGTAAATTGAGCAACAAATATACTACTTAGGGTGGTAACTTTGAAGTAATATGTTTTAAGAGGTCTGTTTTTGTTTTATTTTCTGAGAAAAGTAATAGGTAAATGATTAGAGCTTTTGAAAATAAAACCTGTTTTAATGTACCTGTATTAATTTCACTGAAATATTTTTTTTTTTTAAAGAGAGAGTGAGAGAGGAGAGAGAGAGAGAGAGAGAATTTTTAATATTTATTTTTTAGTTCTCGGCTGACACAACATCTTTGTTGGTATGTGGTGCTGAGGATCGAACCCGGGCCGCAYGCATGCCAGGCGAGCGCGCTACCGCTTGAGCCACATCCCCAGCCCTCACTGAAATATTTGTAGAATTAAAAACTGGGGACTAATGGATTTTGATTACTTTAAAACCTTTTTTGTTGACTATCTGTGAGTTCCTATTTGATGAAACAGTTGTCCTTACCCGTGGTTAATTATATATCTTTCAGCCCTGGTCTTTTTTATTATGCGGTGTGACTGGGTTATAAATATACATTTTGCAGGCAGTCACCCAGATAACGAAAATAGTCTCTGACTTGTACCTGGTTTGTGGTGAGACATGACATGTCAAAGGATCTCTGCATCTGGATTGGGAGATCCATCTAATGCTATGTGGGGTRTGTGTGATCTTCATGCACATGGGTGAGTTATGTATAGTGAACAGTACCAAGAGAGGCTGAAAAAAAGAATTGTACTAGCTTAGCTGGTAGGTAGGCATTCAAACCTGTGGATTTTGGGTACAGAGCAGTATTTTTTTAAGGCATTCACACAATCTAAACTAAAACCACTAGCTAAAGTGGTAGAACACTTGTATAGCAAGCTCAAGATCATGGGTTCAATCCCCAGCATAAATAAATATATATTAGAAGCTGGGTGTGGTGGTGCACGCCTGTAATCCCCATGGCTCATGAAGCTGAGGCGGGAAGATTGTGAGTTCAAAGGCCAGCCTCAGCAAAAATCGAGGTGCTAGGCAACTCAGTGAGATCYTGTCTCTAAATAAAATACAAAATAGGTCTGGGGATGTGGGTCAGTGGTTGAGTACCCCCAAGTCCAATACCTGGTACCCTCCTCCTACTATATATATATGTGTGTGTGTGTGTGTGTTATATTACTTATATGATATTATATATATTACATATTATGTATATTATACATTATTTGTATAATAACATATCTAATATATAATCTATATAATATGTACATTAGAGTTTAAAAGTAGARCTAGATTTAGATACCTTATACTGTTGAAATAAAGTCATAAATGTATATTTTTATAGCATATGAATGTATTAATTATACCAAAAAGATAGTTAGTGAAAGATAGATTGTAAGTTTATGTTGGAATTGATGCAAAATTAAGTTATTTTTGATAGTAGAAGTGTCTTTCAAGTTACTTTTATAAAAAAAAAAAAAAGTTACCATGAACGTGGTGGCACATGCCTATAATTCCAGCAGCTCAGGAGGCTGAGTTAGGAAGATCATGAATTCAAGGCCAGCCTCCACAGTTTAGTGAAGTCCTAAGCAACTTACTAGGGCCCTGTCTCAAAAAGGGGGCGCGTGGCTAAGGGTATAGCTCAGTGGTTAAGCACCCCTGGGTTCAGTCCTCAGTTAAAAAAAAAAAAAAAATTACCAAGAAAAATGTATACAATTTTTTAAAAAATATATTATCAGTTTGGAGAATTGTTGTATACAGTTTGATCATCTAAATATGATTTTTTGAACTATATTCTTTTAAATGTCTGTATTCATGCAATTATGCATATAGGTTTTAAAATTTACTATAGAAAACGAAAGATATATATGAAGTAGAGAGACCAGTATCATGAACCACAATGTAAATATCACTTGTCTTCAATAATTACCATTCTTGGTCAGTTTTATTTCAAGTATAACCCTTTTCTCCCTTCACTTCATAATGGATTATTTTGAAGCAGATTTTAGATGTTGTATCATTTCATCTATGAATACTTCTAAGAGTGTATCTAAAAGATAAGGATTTTTAGAAAATGTAACCATGTTATTACCACAGGAATATCTGTAATTCCTTAATCTCATCAAGCATCCAGCAATTCATGTCTCAATTTATATCAGAAGTGATTTTATCTTGACATTTAAATACAAAGGACCTGTCTCTTGGTACCCTTCGTGGAATGTGAATGCACCACTTAATGTGACTGACACAACAAGGCCTTGTTTAACCACAAGCTCTAAGCATTACTCGCCACCTCACAAGATTGCTGATATCTTAGGACAAAAGATTATTTAGACCATGTCATAGTTGACCACTGAACATTAGATTTTTTGGTTCTTACTGAAAGCTATTTACCTTTACTCTGCACCTTAGATATTGCTGAAGGCTTTTTAGTTGTGGATACTTTGATATATGATAGTCTTAAATTTTTTTAAAGTCTAAATAGTTCATTAACCACAAGGACCTAGGATTGCTGTCCACTGAACATTTGTACCTTTTCAGTTAGGTTTGCATTCTGTGTGGAATTCGTGATCTTCCTATATCTGCTCTTCAGATAACTTGTTCCTGACTGTTGTTGGCTTCATTTCTTTTCTTAGATCACACGCGTTGCAATGTATGGATTCTGGATGGAGATCTGTACCACAAAGGCCTGTTGAAGTTTGCAGTTTCTGCTGAATCTTTGCCAGAGACCCTGGTCATTTTTGTTGCAGACATGTCTAGACCTTGGACTGTGATGGAATCTTTACAGAAGTGGGCTAGTGTTTTGCGTGAACACATTGATAAAATGAAAATTCCACCAGAAGAAATGAGGGAGCTGGAGCGGAAGTGTAAGTAAATTAAAATTTTCTTGGAAAATTCACTAGTCTTTTGGGATGGTTGGAACCACCTTTACAGTTGAGGTTTCCCTTGCATATTTATGTTTTATTTTTGCACCATTGATTCCAGAGTTGTTTTTGTAAATATCAATATCAAGAATACTTTGAAAAAAGCATTCAAAGCAGTCTTTAAGTGTCAGTTGTTGAATAAGAGGAATGACTATTATTATCTTCGTTGATTCTGTTTTAGTGTAAGACTTCTTCTCTCATCTCCTAAAACTTCATCAGTGTTGTAGGCCTCCAGGCTTTTATGTCACTTTTGTCTGCTGCATTAGCATCAGGATGTGGGGTTCGCTGTGGTCTCTGCAGCTTRAGTCAACAGCCCTGGAATTCCATGAAGGCCCTGTGTACCCTCTTGTTGGCAACTTTAGTGGGAGCCCTGAAAAAGACAGATCTTTCAGCTCCTACCTTACTTCATTTTGGAGCCCAGCAAATGTGGCTTTAGTTAGGAATAAAAAGGTTATCTGGGGGGGGGCAACTAAATGAAAGTCTATTTTAAGGCTTAGGATGTYAGAGTTCTTTTGAGAAAAAAAGAACTTTCAAATTAAAGGAAGTTTTTTGTTTTTTTCCTTAATGTGGTTCAGAAGCTTGTTTTTCCTTTCCTTTGCCTCTGTGCAGTTACATCAGCTTCTGTCCTCTTGCCAGGGAAATGGGAGGAGCAGGGACTGGAATTGTGGCAGTAGCAACTGTCTTGGTCAGGACAGGCTTGGCCTAATCTGGCTTGATTCCACAGGATGACATCACTCCTTTAGTGAATAGATGAGAGCTCTGTAGCATGGCACGTGGGATCATCACACTTACTGGCAGAAGGGTTCAGAAATTTTGATGTGCTATTCAAATTAAATTCCTGGTGTGTGTCTTCCTGTCCCACACTTCATCTTGCCCTGTTCCACATTAGCTAAAACAAAGAGTTTAGCTTTTTTTCTTTGATGCCTGTATTTCCTGGGTCATCCACATGTGTGCTGTAGTGATTGTTATGCAGCTCAGCTTGTCTGTCATTAGCCACTGACCTTTGTAGATAATGTCTCTTTTTCCTCTGAAATAGAAACCCTGAAGACAGCTTCTTAGAATAGTTCTGAGGCTGAATAACTGTTTTCAGTCCGCTGTCCAGTAGCTTTGTACCAGTTCTCTGAACCTGTGTTATTAGTGATAACCTTGTAAAGATTTTTTAAAACAGAGGAAAAGAGAGACTGGCCAAGGACACTGCTCTTTCCCGGATAGGGAAAGTACCTGTTCAATATTCGGTACAATTCTAGGTGCTGGGGACATAGCAGTCAAGATACCTATTCTTGGGAAGCTTATTGCATGAGACACTGAATTTGTTTTGTACGCTTAGTCATTGATGTTTTTGTCAGTGTTAGATTCAGCTGCTTGTGACACAGAACCTGGAATGGTGATGGCGTAAGCAAGACTGAGGTTTATTTTTCTCTCCTGGAAATGAAGTCTAGAAGTAGGCAGTTTAGGACTAGGGAACAGCCCTGAACTCAGAAGATGGCTCAAGGATCCTGGCTCCATTGTGCTTTTTGCTTTGTCATTTCTAGGGTGTGGTTCATTTCCCTCTGACAACTAGAGCTCTAGCCTCCACATCTGTATTCCAGACATCAGGATAGAGAAAGAGGAAGGGCTGATGGGCATATGCCTATTCTCTTTCTCTTTCTCTCTCTCTCTCTCTCTCTCTCTCTCTCTCTCTCTCTCTCTCTCTCTCTCTCTTTTTTTTCTTTTGGTACTGGGGATTGAACCCAGGGGTGTTTATCACTGAGCTACATCCCCAGCTGTTTGTTTGTGTGTTTGTTTTTGAGACAGGGCCTCAATAGTGCTTAAGGCCTTGCTGGCCTTCAACTGGCTACCTTCCTGTCTCAGCCTTCTGAGTTGCTGGGATTACAGGCATGCACCGTGGTGCCCAGCTCTGCTGTCTTTTAAGGAAAGGAAAATGTCTTTATTCTGTATGGCTCTGTGTTCTGAAAATCAGGGTTTTGTTTGGTTATAAGGAGGAAGAGGAGRAAGACACTTGAGAGCAACTAGCAATTGCTGGAACCAAGTCCGTGTCTCTTGACTCTGGTTCACCTTCTGAAGGCTTCTGCTTTTACCACCCATGCCTGAGATGTTGGGAATGGTAGCCATGCCTTTATGCTGCATGCTGAAGGGGTGCCTTTGTAAGTGCTGAGTTTAGATTATCATTTTAATAAAGTAGCTGGACATACTCTTGTGCAGAGGACTCTTGATTTCCAGATTATTTGGACTCTGAATTGTATTGAACTAGTGAAAGGTTGTGTCGAACTCAGTTTCTAATCCAACCGACCTTCAGTCTTCTGATTTTGGAGAGTTCCTCTGTGGCCAGCCACTCTCTTTCAGGGTTAGGGTTTCAGGGTTAGGGTCTCCAGTGATTCAGAGTCTGTGATAACTGGCTGCAARAACCAGAACTAGATGGGAAGCAACTCTCAGAGCTGCCAGAAGGTGGTGCTCATTCGTAGTTTACTCTGTTGCTTAYGTAGGCCTGTGGACTCTCAGGTCTGTGGATCTAGTGGGGTGATCAGTGGGGTATTAGGGGAAATATAGGAGTAGGGAAGGTAGAGTACTTTGTGACTGTCTTCTTGAACCTACTCTGTCTTCATGCTAATGCATTCCAGTTGGATGGCCCCCGCTATAAAATTACTGGCCATCCCACCAGGCAGAGAGAATTGTTAACACTGCACTATGTATATCCCCTAAGGAATATGCACATATTATGTTTGGAGTTACACAGTCCTCATTATTTTAATCTTCCCTTTTCGTCTACCTATATGTTATACACATTTGTTCTGCCTTCCAGTATGCTTTCTAAAATGCTGAGTTATTTTAAAAGATGTCAATTTCCTACTCTTGTTGAAAAACCACAATTTAAGTCTTTCCTTTATAGTATGTCTAGGTCTTACCGAGAGATTCCAGGCTATTCTCACCTCGTGGCATATCGTATAATCAGCAGAATTTGGGCAGCACTCTGGGTAATGGAGGCACCTGAGCTCTGCCTCACCTCACTTCCTGCTGTAGCCTAGTTCACCTGTTCCCCGACTCCAGGCTCTGCTCTGCTCACTGTCAGGGAAGCCCTAGCCAAGGGCCTTCAGTGATACCTAGATTGTTAAGTCCCTGTATTTTTCGTTTATTTAAAGGTTTGTTTAAATTTCTTTAAAGAGAAAATATGAGAATCTGTGATTTCTTCTGATGTCCTTCAATAATCACCTCAGATTTTTCTTTGTTGTATAAAATGGAGTGAAGTTCACTCAACTAGGTTATTTATGTTGAAAATGAATTATATGCATGAACTTAATTAAAGTGAAAGTTGTGGATATGAAATATTATCACATCTACAATTGAGAGCTTAAGCAATTAGCTTTCAGTTTGCCTAGTATTATTTGAAATATGATGAGCTTGCAGATAATTTTAGAAGCTCATGCAAGGATAACCAAAATCTCTGTAAATAAAAACTTACTGTTTTAAACATTTCTGTGGGGAAAGAGAAGACTCTGCACCTTTCTCTAGGGCCCTGTGTAATGCTGTTATTTGCATTTACTTGGCGAATGTGTTGTTAATAATAGTAAAATACCTTGTGGTTCCTAAGTCYTGTTGGGCTTGTTAAAAGGGTAGAGCTGCCTGTTGTCTCCTCTGGCTCAAAATAGCTTTAACCATCATGTCTTTGTTATCTGCCTGACATGTGAGCTTTGAAGTGCCCCACATCCACGTGCAGGTCTGTGGGTCTGTGGTCGCTTGGTTTGACTAGCCATCAAGCACTTGGCTTAAAGGCCCTCCTTAGCTAGGGTAGTCAGTGTGTACGCCAAGAAGCAGATGTGCCTTTGACCCTTTGTTGTGGTAGTCAGGGAGAGGCCATACACATGACATGTGTGACTCAAGATCTCTAAAATGAGACCGAGTTCACATGAGTGAGAGCAAGGAGGAAATTGGGCTGGTGGTAAGCAGACTCAGTCTTATTACTTAGTGCTGACACCCTTCAGCCATGTGGAAACAGCATGCTCTTATGGAATTCAGTAATTTAGTAAGCATTTCTAATAAGGATTCTGGGTTTTATTGGTTATAATGATTCCCAGTGGTCACCTATGTTGAAGTAGCAGTTCAACTAATTTGGTATTTTGAAAAGTAGGATATTTAAGAAAAGTGATCTTTTCATAGTTGGAACTAGAAAAGCCTAAAATAAAAAAGAAAAAAAGAAAAGAACTGTTTAGGAGTTGGTGCAATTGAAGACACCAGAGAAATGTCTTTGCTGCTCAGAAGTTATGAAGCTCAGACTGAATGTCAGAATTGTCATTTTGCATCACCATTCCCAAATCTCTGATTCTGCAGTCAGATGTAACTGGGAAGGTTGGTGCACACAGCTGCTTGTTTTCTGCCTATTACTACATTTTTCAGTTTTCTAYAGTTAATATATATATATTTTTTCCCCTTTTTCCTCTGTAGTTGTGAAAGATTTTCAAGACTATATTGAGCCTGAAGAAGGTTGTCAGGGTTCCCCACAGAGAAGAGGGCCTCTGATCTCAGGCTCAGATGAAGAAAATGTTGCCCTGCCTCTAGGTGACAACGTGCTGACTCATAACTTGGGGATCCCAGTGTTGGTGGTGTGCACAAAGGTGCGTCCAGGAATTGTAAGCTTTGCTGGGTTTGGCCAGTGAACAGTCACTGTCTCAAAGAAAGATTGAGAGGCTTTGAAGAAGTTTCTTCCCTAGGGAGAGTTGAGCTTATTCGGGAACCATTAAGGTTTATTGAATGTTTCAGGATAGAACAAATTGTCATTTAACATTGTAGCTGGAAATGTGACATCACTTGGTTCACTTTTATTCAGTTAATTTCCACGAAACACTGTAGACTGTATGGGAAACTCAACTAAAAGCAGTTTTCTTAAGGCCGTGTTAACCAGTTCATCTGGTCCAAATTGATGGTGAAAAAATAGAATGATGAGGTTAGGATGGAAATTGAGTTCAATTATAGAGAAATAAAGTGTCATTTACACAAGAATAAAAAAATAGTTTTAAAAATGTTTGAGATATCAAAAGTACGATATTCCCATCAGAGCCACCCTGGTTGCGATCAGCAGGGTGTGCCAGTCTTATCCTGTTGAGAGTGGAGCCCTGTGGAGGTGGTACCCAGTGATGTACAATGGACCTCATGTGACCTTGTTTAATGTTTAGAACAACTGTGAGGTGATCAGGCATATTGTATATGCACTTTATAGATGAAGAAGCTGAGAGGATGAAAGAGAGAAATCTCCTGTTCCTTTTTACTATACTCTGATTAATACTTGGACCCTTTATAATGGCTTTCTTCTTTGAAGCTATGATACTTTATTTCTGCAAAAGGTGCTTTTCCTATTCTCCATGGGGACAGAGAAGCAGAGAGATGACTCTTTTTCTTTTTTCTCCCCTGCAGTGTGATGCAGTGAGCATCCTGGAGAAGGAACATGATTACAGGGACGAGCACTTGGACTTCATCCAGTCGCACCTGCGGAGGTTCTGCCTGCAGTGTATCCTTGGGGCCCAGGGACATGGATTCCCACTAAATGGGGCATCTTAGAAATCCCTCCTGAACTCAGAGTAGTCTTCTCCAGGGAGAACTTATGTATATCTTTTTACTAGTTTTATATTTTTACTGTATTGGGATTTGAGGCTTATTAACTTGTGCCTATCTTTGGTTACTCTTTGTTTTTAAGGCTGTACATTTCATAGGCTTTCATATTAAGGAGCTGATATTCATATTAAGGAGTGATGATTTTGTTATTAAAATAATTGTACCATGCTTAAAAATTTTCTTAGACTTTGCTTTTGTTCAGGAAAGGACAGTTAATAATCTGGTGCTACAAGTATTTCTCATGTGTTTGTGTTTTTTTGTGCTACCTATGAGAGAGATGCTATGTCACCAGTCTCTGAAGTCTTGTTTTTGTGAAGAGCTAATAGTTGTTGGTGCCCTACTGTCACATCCTGGAATATGAGGACAAATGGGTTCTAACCGTCTCCTTTGAGCCCATTAGCTTGTTAACACCCTTTCCTGGAAAGGTATGCTTAATGACAAACTTGCTCACTTGAGAGCTTCTGGCTAGGACAGAATCCACACACCTTAACTGGTTGAGGGTGTTCTCTTAAGCCAGCCCCAGTGCCATTAATACTTTGCTTTCTGGGAAACAACCTGAGAGAGCAGGACAACAATAAGGTGTTAAAAAAGCAACTGTATAGCCTGCTAGCGTCAGCATATTTCATGCTTTTGACTTGGTTCATCTGTTACAATTCCCTTTTTAGTTTTTAAAATTGTAATATATTTTTGATGTTCATATATTAATCAAAACTGATAAGACTTGTGAGTAGTACTGTAAGGATTGTGCTTGTATGTGATTTTGTCTCTGCTTGCAGTGAATTGGTTTTCCTTAAGCAAATTGATTAGATGGAGCTGCCTTGATTTATACATCAGTGAAGGAGGAGAAAAATCTCGATTTGTTGTATAAGTACATTGTTCATAAAACATACGGTTTCCACTTTACCACGCCTGCCTTAGTAGTGGAAAAGGATGCAGTATTTATGTGAGTTCATTAAAGGTGATGCTTTTAACCCCTTCCCTTTTCATAGTACATTTGCTATGCATTTTACCCTTTCATATAAAGTGCCTTTKGTCCGTGTCTTGTGCAGGCAGCTCTCGGGCTGCCATGGGGAAAATGCTGGGGCTGGGGCTGGACCTCAGAGGTGGTAGATACACCCATCTTTCCCTCTTCTCTTTCTGGACTATGAGACAGTCTGCCTGAGGAAAGTGAGTGGTGAGGCCAGGGGTGCTGCCTTTCTTCAATGAGACCAAGTTGCCCAAACATAATCAAGCCATACATGGCACTTATCAACTGGTGAAGTACTGACTGGGGGAGGTAGTTGAAGTATAGGTGATTTCATTTAAGGATCCTGAATGTCTTCTGTTATGGCATCTGGTTCCTCTGCTATCTGATAAGGGTGATCCTCCCACATCCCTGCCAGTGTGGATTTGGGCCACACTCAGTACTTATTTAATTTCCAGCATTTCACATTTTGGGAGCTACTGGGATTAATTGTCATGCCAGCAACTTGTATACCTGTTTTCCTGARTTTGTGTCTTTCACTGGAGAACTGTGTTTCTGAACACATAAATAATGATGAAGCTGTGTTCTCTCTGAGAGGACTTGGGCTAGCAGGTAGATGTTCAGGCTCAGGTGGCCTTTTGACTTAGCAGTTGTATTTTTTCATTCAGCAGTTCTTACTCAGCATCTCCTTGATGCCCAGGTTCTCTGTTGGGGTCACAGAAATGTATGAAATGTGCTCCCTTCTGTGGGACTGAAAAAGATATAGGAACAGCCAAAGAGGGGAAGAGCAACAGAGAAGGGCAGCGGGAGTGATGCTGGAAGATGAACAGTGTTTCTTCAGTAGACATGAGGGCCAGGGGCAGCCATGAGAGRCTAGAGAAAGTGGGAGCCTGGTTGGACTTGGGACTGGTCTGGAATAGAAAAACATCTTCTGGCTTTTTTTTTTTTTTTTTTTTTTTTTTTGGTACTGGGGAATTAACCCAGGGAAGGTTTATTACTGAACTATTTTTTATTCTTTATTTTGAGACAAGGTCTTAAAAAATCCCAGCAGCTTAGGAGGCTGAGGCAAGAAGATCTCAAGTTCAAAGCCAGTCTTATCAACTTAGCAAGGAACTGTCTCAAAATAAAAGGGGTGGGGATGTAACCCAGTGGTAAAGTGCCTGGGTTCGATATCCTCAGCACCAAAAAAAAAGAAAGAAAGAAAAGASAGTCCTCAGAGAACCCATAGGAGGGAAGACTCCATGCCAAAGCTTAAGAGAAATAGTCCCCACCCAAGCTTTGTCCTCTCTTTTACTCTCTACATTCTTCTTTGTCAAGACAGGGTCCCATTGTGTCCTTGCTCCTATAAGGGCAGTTGGGGGAGAGTTCTGAATGCTTCCAATGGGGGCCATATGTGGTCAGTCAGATCTCAGACTGACCTCTTAGGCCTGGGGCTGGTGAGCTCTGTATGGAGCAGGACCTGCCACGCTGATCTGATGAGGTATACATGCTGCGGAAGCTGCAAACCATCCCAGCAGCTGCAGACCAGATCTTATGGGATAGGATCTCATCCAGGAATGCTTTCTAACCTATGTGCTCTGTATTTTGTAAGGCAGTCCCAGGAAAAGCAATCCAATCCCTCTTTGCCTTTAGACCTGCAGGTTGGGACAATGAAAAGAAAATAGCTATTTTACATGAAAATTTTACAACCGTGAAGCCAGAAGATGCATATGAGGACTTCATTGTGAAACCTCCTGTGAGAAAGGTACCCACAGCAAACACTTTTAATGGGGAAAGAAACCTAAAAAGATTCAGGTTTTGGGTTGGGGTGTAGTTCAGAGGTAGAATGCTTGCCTAGCATGCRTAGGATCCTTGGTTCCATCCCTAGCCCTACAAGGGAAGAAGAAGAAAAGGATCTTAATTGTACTGCTCTGAAGAAATAAGTAATCCAGGGACCTTTTTGTTAGTCTTCAGGTGAGGTCTCGTGGTTATGTGGGTGGCTCATTATGGTGGAGCATGAGTAATGGTGCACCTACATAGAGCTAGCTGGCATGTCTCAGTGAGTCCTGATAGTGCTGCTGCCACCTCTGGATTATTGTTGCTAGATCTCCTCTCTGTTGGGATCTGAAGACCCTGATCTGCCAGACTTTAAAAATGTCAGTTGGCCCAATGCTATGGCTAATTTTGGGACACTCTCTGTACCAGGCAAGAAAAATGTACCGTCTCAGGAATGATCTTCCAGATCCATGTGGAGGCCTGAGCCCAAGACTCCCCTTATAGCATGAATTTTCAGTTGTTTGAGAGTGTTCTTGACCCATGGCCACAAATGTGTATGTCTCTTCACAGCTGGTCCATGACAAAGAGTTGGCAGCAGAGGATGAGCAGGTGTTCCTAATGAAGCAACAGGTAAGAAGACTGGGAGATTAAAACAGAGGCCCTCTCATGCTTGGAATGCCAATTCCTTAGGGTGAGGCTGGGGCTGCGTACGAGTGAGAATCCCAGAGAACTTGCAGCATTATAGGGATGTGGACCAGGTGTCCTTTTCACCCCCTTTTCTGAGGGTATGGGCAGGTCCAGGGTTTTGATAATTATTTTTCCAACTCTTCCTCTTTTCTATGCCCTGCTTGCTTCCTTAGCTTCAAAACTGGTTGGTTGGAAGCATGTGTGGTGGTGTGTGCCCGTAATCCCAGCCACTCAGGAGGCTGAGGCTGGAGGATCACAATGTCATTGCCAACCTTGGCAACTTGGTGAGACCCTGTCTCAAAAATAAAAAAAGGGCTAGGGTGTGGCTAGAGCACCCCTGTCTTAAAGTTCAATCTTCAGGACCACCAAAAATAAATAAATAAAAATTTAAAGCCTGGTTACTTGGATCTTTTTCACTATATACCAAATAGGTTTTTTTGCCAGTAGAGTAAAATACAGTTTGGTGGTTGTTAATGGCGCCCTCTAGTGGAATAGTAAGAGTAAGTTTTTCTCCCAGCCCAAGTGCACTCTGCAGGCCTTGGTTAATGGCCAGTTTGTCCCTCTCTTTGCAGTCACTCCTTGCCAAGCAGCCAGCCACGCCCACGAGAGCCTCCGTGAGTACTTTATACAACACAAAGGGTCATGGCCTGTGTCACGGGTATCTTCAGAATTTATACCATTATTTATGAGAGCTTATATTTAGGTGGGCTTTCATGTTCAGTGGGAATTTGGTCTTTCTAAAGGACCTCTTAGGAGAAACTGAGGCCTAGGAAGGGGCTGAACTAGGAGCAAACTCCTAGTTCTTCACCTAGACTCTGGAAAATTTCTGGCAGAATCAAATCTTCATTTTTGAGATTTGTATTTTTCTGTTATTTTTGTGTTATTTATGTGTGTCACCTGGACTGGTTTTGGACTTAGGAATCCCCTGCGAGAGGACCTTCTGGCTCTCCAAGGACCCAGGGCCGGGGAGGGCCAGCCAGTGTACCAAGTGCCTCCCCAGGAACATCAGTAAAGAAGCCCGACCCAAACATCAAAAGTAAGTATTCTGTTTATGGAGAATTGTTTAGTTCTAGGTCTGTAGGAGTGAAGATCTAGGAAAGCTTGGGGCTATGCTCTCCCAGAAGAAGAGCTTCTTTCCAYTTCCTAGAGGGAGGGATTTTTGGATGGCAGCAACCAAGATCTGTTCCTTTGTTGGAATTGGTGACCCATGAACCTTTTTTTCTTTTTTTTTTTCTTTGTTTTGTAAGACTTCAGGTCCTGCAGATGCTTTCAGAAAGGAATGCAGAATAGAAAGTTTCTTTAAAATGTGTATTTTGAGTTTTTTATGTCTCATGTTTATATTATTACTATTTATAAATTGTGAGATTTTTTTTCTCCTTCACTGCTCTTGTCAAGCTAAATTACTTATTAGTTTAAGTAGCTTTATTTCCAGCAGCTTATTGATACCCAAAGTTATTGGGTAAAACCACCAAAACAAAAACCTTTTTAATTCTCAAATGTTTGATGGGTATTTTCTACTTAGGATATGAGCTTTTTGTGGCAGGCTGAGAGTGTTAAGGGCTTATAAAACTTTGAAAAACACTGCTTTGAGGACAGAGAGATGGTGTGGAGCATGTGTTATCCTTATGCTTAGGTAGGAATTATAATGTGTTTCCACATAGTAACCATGCCAACACATAATTAGCCTCAGCGTTAGTGTTGTAAGGACTCTGAGTAAATGAATTTGATCGTAGGATGGTGATGGCCACGAATGGCTAACTGCAAGTTGAGAACTACTTTTTTTGTTTTAAGTCATCCAGTTCATGTGATGCTTTCTTTGCTTACTGTTTCCTCAGATAATGCAGCCAGTGAAGGGGTGTTGGCCAGCTTCTTCAATAGTCTTCTGAGTAAAAAAACAGGCTCTCCTGGAAGTCCTGGTGCTGGTGGAGTGCAGAGCACAACCAAGAAGTCAGGTATAAAGGGGTCATTGGAGACTGACTCATGGCCCTTATGGCCAAGCTGTACTRGAAGGATGGGAATACATACAGGATTATGTACCTTCACCTGGCCTGCAGACTCATGGTGTTCTGAACAACCACATGTGGAAGTAGATCTACGTTTCATAGTGAGCAGGGTGCTTTCTGTGGGGTTGCCTTATTACCAATAGCTTTTCCCGGGCACATTTAAAGTGGGATGTAGCCAGGGGCCGTGGCACACACCTCTAATCCCAGCAGCTTGGGAAGCTGAGGCAGGAGGATCACGAGTTCAAAGCCAGCCTCAGCAATTTAGCAAGGCCTTGAGCAACTTAGTGAGCCCTATCTCTAAAACACAAAAAAGGCTGGGGATGTGGCTCAGTGATTAAGCACCCCTGGGTTCAATTCCTGGTACCAAAAACTAAATGAACTAAATAAATAAATAAAGTGAGATGTATATGTATTTAGGCTCTTAGGTGAGTCAAGGCACAGCCTGAATTGTACTTGTGACCCTATTATAGAAGCTCTCATCACTGGAAATTGTGGCCTCGTGTAAACTATTGACATTTTATTTATTCTGTTTATTTTTCTGTGATACTTTGAAGGATTTTATTCACTCCTCTGCTCTTAGTCTTGCCATGGGCTAGAGCCTGTGAACCCTCGGTCTCACTAGAGAGTCATCTCTTCCTCTCTGAACTCTATGGTGGCCCACCCACCTATCCTTCCATATGGGCTAGTGGGCCAAGTTTTTCTTGGAGATCTSTGAAACAAAAGAACCAAGTTCCTTGAGAATCACACATTTTCTCAGAAAGCTGGACGACATTTCATTTTATTTGTGGTACTAGAGATTAAACTTACGGTCTTGCACATGCTAAAAGAATATTTTAAAAGGGTCTTTACTTTACAACAGGTGCTGTAGCACATGCCTGTAATCTCAGAGACTCAGGAGGCTGAGGCTAGAGGATCACAAGTTCAGTGCCAGCCTGGGCAACTTAGTAAGACCCTGTTTCAAAAAATAAAATGGACTGGAGATGTAGCTCAGTGATAGTATCCCTAGGTTTAATCCCCAGTACCCAAAAGTAAAAGGAAAAAAAGGGGGGGTTCTTTGCATTTAATTTTCCACTGACTATAAGGTATATTAATACAGTGTTTTCCCTAATTAATGTTTCCAGAGCCCATGTAACCCTTAGGAGATCACTCCATTGCCTGGACCTTTGGCAGCTCCAAAGTTTTTAAAGTCTGGTGGCCTTGGCCATGGCCATGACCATTTTTCACTTATCAGAATTTGGGGTCATTTTCTAAGCCCTGTTAGTGTTTGAAACAGAAAAATGTGAACACCAACTTTGTGCAGGATTGAATTGCCTGGTCTTGGTCTCATCTCATATTGACACATGGTGTTTTCAGGCTGTGCATGTGAGTCAGTCCATAGTGCTGTGATTAGAAAAAACCTGAATACTTATCTGCCCAGGGCAAAGAAAGCAGTTTGCCATATACCTGAAACTCAGATGACCATTTCTAGGAAGGTGTTAGTGAGAGTGCTCAGGGGGTGGGTTTGGAGGGTGAGACGGTTTTCAGAAAGGCCCTTGCTTTTGGCACAGAGATACCCCTGCTAGAGGCAGCCACATGGTTGGGGGAGCACAGACTTGTGACATTTAGAATTAAAAAGACTGAGTTAGGGTCTGTTTCATGATTCTTGAATAAATGGCTTTCCCATTTTTGTTCACCACAAGTGATTATAGAAGTCTGTATAATTTTAAATGTTTCTTTTTAAAAATCTTTTCCTGTTCTCACATTGCTGCTTTTTTTTTTTTTTTTCTTTTGCCTTTTTTAAGGACAAAAGACTGTGTTGTCAAATGTTCAGGAAGAACTGGATAGAATGACTCGAAAACCAGACTCCATGGTAACAAACTCTTCAACAGAAAATGAAGCCTGATCCTCCTGAAAAAGTGCACATGTCAAATGACCAAATAACTATGTATATTGATCTGCTAAGACCAGGATTTTTCTGATATGGCACATGCTATCAGTTTTTTGGGGAAGGGGAGATGAACTCTTTAAAAAAAAAAAAAAAACTTTATTGGCTTGTCCGAGTGTGAAATGCACATTTAGGAAGATTACGTGGCAGACCCCTTGTTAAGGATAACCCTTGGACTCTCGGGCATGTGGCTCTCGTGGGAAGCGAGCGTAACTGGGCTTCTTGTAGTGCAGAGAAAGGGGGCCCACTTTTCTGTTGGGGTGGAGCAAATGAGACCAGGAAATCATTATCAGTTGGTGGTTAGTCTGACCAGTTGCGTGTTAGCAAATTCACTTGTTCTTGGGAAGCAGATTAAGTAGCAGAAAGTCCAGAAAAGAGAAAGATTGAAAGGAGAAATGAGAAACGAGAGACGTGATGGAGGGGAAGCCGGACGTGGAGGGAGGTGGAGGAAGAAAGAGAGATGAGCAGTGTTAGTAAATACTGTGTGTTCAGTAGAAGTCAAATAATCATTGTTTAAGAATTAAAATTAGAAGCATTTCCAAACTAAACACTAAGAAAAATGGGATTTAGACTTGTTCTGAATGCATTTAGCTTATGGAGGATACATTAAGTGTGGGGGGCCTGAGTCAGGTGGAGCTGACACAGGATTGGGAAGATGGTCAGTTGCCCAGGACCCACATGCCTGGCTCAAGCCTTGTCCTTGGGGAGATGTTGGGTTCCATGCATGTGCATCGTGGGGCAGGCAGTCACTGTGGGCTGTGATCAAAGTCAGCAAAATTAGTTTACTTTGAGTTGTGTTTTCTAAATAGCTCCTGCTTTGTTATTGTTTATTTTACTTTATTTTATTTTTTTAAACTACCACAGGCTGGCCTACTAGTAGAAAATGGGTAATCAACCTCTCATTCTACCATAATGCAATGTGCTACAGAAAGTTTGGGGGAGGTTTTTAATGTAATTGTACTCTGGTTAATTGTCTTGCACCAATCCCTGCCTTACAGTCTGTGGAAACTTTCATGGAGTTCCACTAATGCAAAAGGTCTTGTCCTAGCTCCCTGGTCTGATCATTGCTATCAGATGAACAAATAAGTGTGAATGTTTTATAGTGAAAACAAAAATGATATAATTTCTTTTGTGTTTTTCATAAAATGTAGCATTTTTTTTTTCTTACGGAAGTGAGTGTTTTAGGTATCTCCCCATTTGGGGCAGATTCATGCACATTGTCATGTCACATCACCATTCTGGGAATGAATTCTGTGGATTTGAGATGGCACTTTTAATTTTATAAATGACACAGCATTTAAATGCAAACACTACCATGAATTTAATGTATAAAACATTTGTTGTCAAACCAAGGGAAATACCACAGTTCACTTACGTGGCGTTTACTTTTTTATATAAATGTTTGTTGTACTGTGTCTCAGCATAACTTCCCTAATGTCATTACTTTTACATACCAGATTTGGTTGACCACTAACATAATACTGGGCATAACTTAATATCCTTATGTTATATAACAAAACTCTTAAAATTGTCTTGAATTGCTTTTGTAAAGGTCTGAACACTGTTAAGAAGAAAGCTGCGTATTCACTTGCCTTTCTGACAAATGAAAAAATGTTTCTTGTGCCAGTTTTGTTGTTGAAATATATTATTTTTTCCTTTTTTTAATTCAGTTTTTTTTTTTTTTTTAACATGTATCGTGGCTTCCAATTACCAGGTTGTCTAGGTGATGGCAGTAAACTGACTGTGGAGTGGTAGTTGTGGTGTAGCAACCAGTAGATGCCAAACAGTTCATGGCCACGCTAAAGGTGGGGGTCACTTAATCCCTCTGTAGTAGCTGGGGGCAAAATGAATAACCTCAGAAGCAAGAAAAAAATTCTTGGAAAGGCACATGCCTAAGAGGGATACAGTGTGATTATAAATAGTAATGCAAAATTTAATTTTTTTTTAATCATTTGAACTGATAAGCACTTTTTGTGTCAGTGTAAGATGTTGTAAAGCCTATGAAAATACTAAGGTGCCGGTCTTGTGAAGGAAGGTTTCTTGGAGACCACTTTTATTCTCATGACAAATGGATGTTCCTAGTATCAGAAGAAACTGATGCATAGTGTCATGTGCTCAGTGGTTGCCAAAGTCTACCAACTTTGGGGGAGCTTCAGGGTTCTTTTTAGAGGGTGGGAGGGGAGAAGATTTCTGTTATTTGGGGGTTTTCAAGCATTGGAACCAAAGGCCAAATAATAAGCAGCCTTTACTTTTTAAAATAAAATTCATTTTATTTGCAGACTACACATGTAGGTAGACAGTTAAAGACAATTTTATGACTTATTTATACACATTATTATAGTGGTTACATCTGCTGTTTGTTTTTAAAGTGGAAAAATCAAAGAAAAATAAGCCCAACCTAGAAGATGTGGCCCAAATAAAGGCCATGTATTGGTCTTTCCTAAAAATGCAACAGGTATGCTGCTAGATTACTTTATTTTGTTTGCACTTTTTTTTAATTGGCATTTTAAAATCAGTATTTAAACTGAAAACATTGTCATGTTTTATTAATTTAATGAATTTGAAAGTGACTGCTCTGTACATCATGACCTTAACAATGTTGATGCTGTAAGTGAAAGTTCACTGTCGTCTATATGCTAAGTTCATTGGTGTTTTWAACTTAAAATAGGACTGCAGATTATCCCCCACCAGCCTTAGTCCAGAGGTGTGGCTCTATCCGGGTGCAGTATGCAGTCTTGTGGAACCTTACTCTCTAGTGCTGGGGAAAAAAAAAAAGATGTCTCTAATTACTGGCTTCAATAAACACGAATCCAGACTGCTTACGATTTTGGTGACTTTTTTTTTTTATTTGATAAATAAATCATCCCACTGGAGAACCATTGTTTGCGTATCTGATCATGTAGCTAAAAATACCACTCACTTAAAAATTCAGGAATTCTGATAAAAACATTTAAAGTCATAGTTTGAAAGTTGTGGAGTTCAAAGCTGTGTGTAGAATGCAGGAGGGTTTGTGAGAGACTGTCTTGTTTTTCTGGCCTCTTATATAAATATTTCATTTTGAGTGATTTGCACTTAGCCAATTTAAAAGCATTAAGGATTCATAGAGGAATTTCAGAGTAACTACATTGTAATGCTTTCCACTTGCACTGTAAAATTTGCTCAAGAAAATTTGTAGCTTTTATGTTCAAATACATGAATTTCGTATCTTACTGTTGCACTCATACAAATTATCTCCTCAACTTAAAAATTGCAAACCTACAGTAAAGTTGAAAAAGAATGTATTGAACACCCCTATTATTTTTTATAGATTCATCAGTTTTTAACATCGGGATATTTTACCCCTAAACATATCAGATGAGGTCAGGCCAGTGGTCTTATAGAAAGTTCCATCTTAGTGTTTCCCTCATGATTTGATTCTGGCTTGACATTTTTGTAAGAATGCTACTGCATAGATGAGGTTGTACATGTTCTACTTTCACATTGAGTTGACCCTGTATTGGTGATGCTGGTTTGATTCTTGGTTAAGGTGATGTACCTCAGGGGTCTCAAGCAATCTGTAGGGTGGTATGAGGGATTATTTCATTTTATGATACTACCAGTAACACTGTAATASCAAATACTTATATTGGAGGTTGCTATAYACCAGTCACACTTTAGATGTTTTGTACAAGTTGATTTAATCTTCACATCTCTTGTGAGGCAAATATAACTCTTACCATCTTAGTTTCCAGATGAGGACCCTAAGGCCATGGATGGGCTWAGCAGCTGCTGAAGTTAGGGCCAGAATTCAACCCTGACAGTATGCTCTGCTGGCATACTGTTAGGGTTGTGTTGCTCCCTCAAAGCAGATGGTGAAATACAGCAATTGAAAGTGTTCTCCGGTTGTGGTAGTGCACACCTGTAATCCTAGCTACTTCGGAGATTGACGCTGGAAGATCATATGTGAGGCCAGCCTTCACAACATAGTGAGATCTGACTTAAAATGAAATGAAAGGACGGTAGATGTAGCTCTGTGGGAGCATGCTTGCTTACTTAGCATGTGTGAGGTTCTAGGTTTGATCCCCAATACTGCCAAAGAAAAAGAAAGTRTTCTCATCTGAGGTCCTCTGTAGCTGTGTGCTGCTATTCCACCTGTTTCCCTTGTTGTCATGGGTGCAAGAGTTACTCTTATTAGGTGGACAAAAATGACAGAATGTATCCAAAGAGCAAGTATCCAGTGCATTTGTGCAAAGGGAAAACGGGCTGCAGTCACATTATCTTACTGGGAAAGTCAGAGTGAGTTGCCTGCCACCCTCKTATCTAGAAAGGACTTCCCTCTTAAGGCAAGAACTTCAGGGCTTACCATTGGTAAGTGCCCTCAATAGGCCCTGAGTTTTACCTGTGTGAATGTCCCTGGGGGTGCATGCTAGGCCAGGGAGCTGGTCTTCCTACTTACGTGTCTTAGGGGGCCTCACACACACACTGGTAACCCACTCTGGATTCCCTGGCCTGCCTTCTCTAGATTAGGAGCAGCACATGAAAGGAGGCAACTGAAGTTGGAAGGGTTGAGCTCAAGTGGATTCTAATCCTGTGCATTCTCTCATTGAACCAAACAAGTACAGTTTAGACAAGAGTAGAAAATTGATAAAGAAACAAAGTAACACAAACAAAATTGGAAATTTCTCCCCACTGAGCCTTCTTTCCCTGACTTTGTAAAATGGGCATGAAATTTCTTTCCAGTCATGAACACAGAAGGTGCACATATGCTTGGCATATGGTAGGTTTTCAGTGTGGTTGCTGATTGAAAGTAATCCCTAATTAACATTGTTCTAGCAACTCCATCCTTTGACCCACCCATTTTGTTTGTGGAATCAGTCTGTAGTTTAATCTCATCTCTCAGGAAAATGGAGGTAGAGGAATTGATACCTTGTTCAAAATTCCTGGTGCAGTTCCTACAAGATGCCACACCTGAGCACTGAATTCTGTAAGTAAGGACAGTGGTATTTGGTATTGCTTTCTTTACCCTGCAAGGCCTGCAGATAGCCAACAGGATGCCAACTGCTGTCTTGATGCTCTCTGACTGCTGTGAGGCACAGATGGTGTTTTCTAATGGGAGACCAAGATGACAGGCCAGCAGCAGTGGTCCAGAGAGCAAGAGGAAGGAAGAAGTGAAAACTCCTACTAAAGATAAGGCAGTGTGTCCTGCTGCCAAACAATAAGCCAGGCCATAGYATCTCATGGCCTGAAGGGACAGAAGCTTGTGTTTACAGCCAAGCGTTGTTGATAGGGTTCTGGAACAGTAGGGATCATGTCTGTGTGTGGGTCAGGAAGTYTCTTCTCCACTCATGGGCAGTGTTTTTTGGTATTGGGGATTGAGCTATATCTACCATTGAGCTACAGCCCTGTCCATTTTTAATTTTTATTTTGAGACAGTGTCTTGCTAAGTTGCAGCCAAATGCTGAGTCTGGCCTTGAACTTGCTATCCTCCTGCCTCAGCCTCCTGAGTCACTGGGATTACAGGCATGTACCACCATACCCAGCCCTTCCAAGTATTTCTAACCCTGTTAAGAAATCTCTTTGTGGGGTAGAATTACAGATTTTTCCAGTACTGTTAATAATACTTTGTGTCCCATCTTGTTTTTATCAAGTAAGTAAAGATAAATGAAAACAGTGAGGTATTTTCATGTGCAATATTTTTCTGTTGACATTTATTTAATGGAACCTATTTTTTTTTTTTTTTTTTTGCATAGAAAACTGAATCAGCATTCCAAAGTGATCATCAGCCTCCTCCATCCTCCCCACTGACCTTCCCCCTCCCTACAACTTGCTCATCCCATCAGCATCTGCAAAGAACTAAAGTCTTACTAGAAACACAAAGTGAAGCATTTTTGTTTTGGGAAGAACTCAACAATTTTAAAACTATGTTCCTTTTTAAGGCAGTCGTTTATTTGAAAGAGTAAGGGTGCCTTGGTACATCTGTCAGCAGCCTGTGTCATGTTACATCTGTCCTTGATATTTAAAATATTTGGCATCATTTGACTATGAATCCATTTCTGACCTATACAGACTCATCTAACAAACGCTGGCCTGGAATTAAGCTTGGGYGTATATAGGAAACTAAACAAATCATTTAACTTTTGCATACAGAAAATGTATGCATGTTGAGATGGCATTTCAGAGGTTCTAGTTCACGTCAGATGGTTTTGCACCTTGAGAGGATGAATTCTCTCTCACGACAGGCCCAGAGGAGGCGAACAGACCACAGTACTGGAGCGCACACAGTTCTGGCACAGGCTCTGCCCCTCGCTGGCTGCCTCCTTCTTGACAGTCCTATTCCCATTTGTAAAAGCTGAAGTCTAGGTGTTCCAAAAGGTATTCTGAGGACATCTTCTAACATGTGGTTGAGCAGCTTTGGAATACTCAAAACTGAACAGATTTTTTAATTTATTTTATTGGTGACTGGTGTGACTCTTCAGAAAGGCATGTGTTTGGGATTTTCCACCTAGCTTTGACTGTGGAGAACCTTCAGGTTCCACAGAATGTTCTTTTTTTTTTTTTTTTCTTTATTTTGTGGTGCTGAGGATTGAACCCAGGGCCTTGTGCCTGCAAGGCAAGCACTGTACCAACTGAGCTATCTCCCCAGCCCCACAGAATGTTCTTGAGAACATTCACATGCAAGGTTCTGAGACTCTGCAAAGGTCCGTGTTTCTATGATATTTGAGATTCGAACTCTACAGCCAAATGGATGGTATCGTGCAGCTTCTCAGTACCCTCTCTCCTGCCCCTCCTTCTGTTACCTTAAAGGAAACCAGCATTTGTAGAATTGGTGGGTTTGCTATGACTAGGACATCCCTGGCAGTTTTTGCCCCCAAGAGCTGGTTTCTCATGTCGTACCCATGGGCACTACTGTCCTAGGCACAAAGGGAGGTTAAGCCAACATCTCCCTGCAGCTGGTGCTGGGTCCTTGTGGGAAGCATCACCAAACACAGCCTCAGTCTAGCCACTCTGCCTGCCAGATGGTTCTCCCCATACTTGGGAACATCAGTATTTTTGGCACTCAAGTGGACCAGAACTGTTCTGACAAAAGGGAAATTAGCCCACAGTCACAGCTCTGACACCTGGGCAGTTTCAGCTGGGAACCCAAAGTCAGACTGGTTTGAATTCTGGCCCTAGGATTTTTAACAGTTGTGTGACTGGAGAGAAGTCCCTTTGCCTCTTCAGATCTCATCGTCCTCTGAGTGGCAAGGAGACTCTCACCTACTTCCCAGGGAGACAGGATAAACTAGTTGAGATGAGTGCTTAGTGCAGTACCTCTGCAGAAAGGGTCCTGAAGCAGAACCAGCCTTGAACTAATTGTGTGATGGAGAAACCTTAAAAGTTCTTAGAAAGATCTTAAAAATTGTGATCTTAGAGATGGGAAAATAGGTCCGGGGGCGGGGGGGAGGAGGGCGGGGACGATTATTGCCAAGATCCACAAAAAGCAGGTTTAGAGAATGCTGGTGTTACCATGTTGCCTTCCTCTCCCACTCTGCCCACTTCCCCAGGCCAGGCAGTGCAAACCCCAGTCTTAAAGCTGAAGGAATGAATTGCTACTTTAGATTGAGCAAGAGAGCTATTTTAAGGCAGACAAGCTCTCAAAACCATAAATTCCATCACCTGGGCAACTGCCTGCTTTCTTGGGCAAGGCAGCTCTCTGCCATCTGAATGCATGAGCATSCGGGTATGTGGTTGAAGTATGTGGTCTCCTGGGGCTTCTTCCTTACCTCTACTTGAAAGGAGTTGTGGGGGGCTGGGGATGTGGCTCAAGCGGTAGCGCGCTCGCCTGGCATGCATGCGGCCTGGG